TTGCATGCTTAAACTTTATTGCTTTCTAGGCAACTGTAAAGTTAGGAATCATTTGTGATCGATATTCACTGTAATGTATCTTTTTGTTCCTTATGATAAGAAAGCACTTTTTTCTTGGTGACTTATGGGCTTAGTTCATCAGGCTCAATTAACAAATGATTGATGAGATGAAATTTATGTACAGGTTCTCATCAAATGGAGCTTGCTATGAAACTCGTGCAATTGATACTAAATAAACTGTCTCTTGACATCATTAGCAATGACTATCTTCAGGAACTCGCAGTGATTGTAAGTTGAATTTCTAGATATCTTTGACTTCATGAATTCTTCAAATATTATACTATCCTTTGTTTCGCTTTAGCTTCAAAAATTTACTTTTGCAGTTATGCTGGAAGTAAATTTTCTGAATTGAAATTGATAATCTTCTTTGAAATTGGTATATGAATTTGAGTTATTTCTGCTTTAATACAGGTGGCTGCAATATCGAGGCAATTTGCTGTCTTGCATAGTGCTGTGAAATTTGATGCGCTTCACCTACTGTCTGCCATCCTCTCATCGCAGTATGCGGTATGAAATCATTGTTTATTTCTCTTTTCTAGGAAAAAAAAAAGGATTATTTGACTTAGCTAATTTAAATGATGAATGGTTTCTTATCAATTTTGATTGTTTGACAAAATAAGGCTCTTTTTAGGTATGATTAAATTACCGGAGGCAAACTCTCTCAGTTCTCTGTTGATATCGGTGACTTTTAAACTAATTATGTATCTTCCGGGTATTTTCAGGCACCACTTTGTGATTCTCTTCGTGTATTACCAGAAAAAGATTTTCCAAATTACATACGCGATGGTATTGCAGCCATTATACAAAACCGTGTTGGTATGTTGAACTAATTATTTAATTCATTTTTGTTTTAGTCTTTTAGATGAAAATGGTGAAGTATGAATACGTTGTCAACTTGTCATGTAGAGAAGTTATCGTAGTCTCTGATATTTTAGCATTTTCATGGTTTTTCTTTTAAGTTTTGTTGCTTTCTGTAAGTTCCTTGTTAATTATATTTTTTAAATGAAAAGTGGAGGCTTATTAATGTTATTTTCTTGTCATTTAATGGCAGCGCCTAGCGAAAAGCTTCAGGCACTTATTTTGGCTGATTCTATGATGATGATATATGGGGAACGATGGTTGATAGGTCAGATCAGCTTAAGTGAGTTGAAAGAGCCTATTCCAGCTGACAGGTCTGCTATGCCTGTATATGATACATGTCTGCATTTCCAAGTGTGTATGTGTGTTGATTTTATATAATGGGCAGGTCTGATAGTCCATGTTTGTGTCTTAATTTTTCAGGTGCCTAGTGCTAGTACTGGAGCAATCAAGGGTTGAAGTTGCAGTTCTTCTTAATGAGCTTGCCCAGTTGAAAGATGAGGCATCCAAGAAATCTACGGCCCCTGCTGAGACATTTTGTTTAAAGAAACGGAATGTGGCTATTGCCTTTTCCTTACTTGAAAAGATAATTAGCTTAATATCAAATGCCAGTGAGAATGAAGGTAAGCCATTTTTGCTAGATTTGCAGGTTTGGGAGTTCCATAATTTTTGTGGAGAAGTATGATGGGGTAGTGTGTGTGAAACATTAATTTAAATTTCCTCCCTATTTTATATTTAGTGTTTATTTTTTCAGTTTCCTGACTTATTTTTTGGTTGACTTGCAACTGAGCTGTTTGGTACAAATATACGCTTATCTCTTGACTTCTGTAAAATGTTAATCATCTCTGTGCAATTGTAGGGGATCCTATTGATGAAAATACTTGCATGACGGTGATTAAGGGCCTTAACGAGACAATTGGCGTAGTTTTAGAGTATTTACAAGATGCAAGGGTAAGCATAGTCATTTTATATAATTAGGGTTAATAATACTTTCATTATTTAATCACGTTATGATCCACAGGAACATGGACAAAGGAAGGGAGATGATCTTCTTGCTTCAGTACGGCTTATTGGGAGGTATTATTGCATTTGTCTGGTTAACATGTTGGTGAAATTCATGGAGACATAGGAGCCACTGTTTTTAATTGTTGATATGCTTGTTTCAGCTATCTTGCAGAAACACCCCTTGCATGCAAAGAGAATGTTAGAGAACTTTTAGAGTATATGCTTTCTGTTGAAGGTGAAGATGAACGAAGGTATATCATCTCAGAATAATTATAGTCTAATACGCAGACAAACTTTAGGGGTTTATAAGCTTTGAAAATGATCTTTTATTTGTAATATGTCCAAATGACAGCCCCTTCTACTCTATATGCTTTTTGCTTCCAATGCTCTGCCAAATGACAATGGAGATTGAAGGATGTAAAGCTTTGGTTTCCTGTGGTGGCCATAACGCTGTAAGTCTGGATTTTTTATCCTCATTTATAAAGTACTTGCTCTCTACATTTTTTCCAATCTTTTTTTTGTTTTTTTGTTTTATGTAATGGCCTCGTGATGTGTTCTCAAGTTGAAGTCTACAAAAGCAATTTAGCAAGCATATTGAATCGATTTGCAGGTTGTTGATTGCCTTGTAAAATTGATTGGGCCACATGGCTATATGGTTGAAGATAATGATCGCATTCTTTTGGCTTGTGACACAATCTTGAATCTTCTTTTAAAGGTAGAGTGATCATCATTATATACCAAGAATATTATTTATTTTATGCAATCTATGATCTTCTGTTTCTTTTTCATATATAGAAAGAGCAATTGCAAATCCCAGTGGATGATTCAGCGCTTGTTAATCTATTAAAAGCGCTGGCATACTGGACAGGTACCCTTTTATCAACTTTCTTTACCATTAATACGTGCATTGAAACTGCTCATTGTTATGAAATCACATTTCCTTTCGTTTTTATAATGCAGCAGTAGTATTATTTAGGAAAACTGATAATATTGGTTTTGATTTTGGCGTTGCATTAGAATCATATCGAAGGGCATCCAGTTCATTTTTCGAAAGCAGTAACATTTTGGAGACTATTCCATTTGGAGAGTACCCTGTTTACTCTTTACTGTTAAAAATGAGATTTTGTTTCGTTATTTTAGGAGCAAAAGACTTGATAACTCTAGAAAAACCGAACCAAAGAACTTTTGGAGACAGATTTGTCTTTGAATTATAAAGCCTCTGATCTCAAGTATCTTTCTTTTATGCCAAAGTGTAATAGTTTTCTCTTTCATGTTATGTCGTTCTGTTTTTGTAGTCTGATTCAATTTTTATCTTTATGTTTCCAATTGTGATATAACTTTACAATTTTAAGGGGTTTTATTTATTTGTTTCAAATAGTGCATAATATGATGTGGGCCCATCACGTTGTTTCAAAATTGATACTACTTGACAGAGCTTAGAGCTGTATTATCGGCATTCATTTTTCGTTCTGTGCATGGTCTAACCTCCTATCTTTTCATCCTTTGTTCATGCAAAAGAGATTGGGCATCTTAATAATTCTTGTACACCTGATTTCAGAGGGTAAGGATGACCCGTCAACTATTATGATGGCTTCAAGCATTTGCTCGCTGCTATTTGATTTGACATCTGAGAAGGCTCTTCTTAAGCATCCTAACTTTGATGACAGCACTCTAGATAGTTTATCTCGTCTCATCGCAAGAAGTATGGCTTCATGGGGACAGGTATACTGCATGATGGGAAATTGATCGATTGTTTTTTTTTTTTTTACTTTTAAAAATTGTAGCTTATAAGGTGCCGGTTATCAAATTCATTGTAGGGTATGTCTGGTGCTGCTAAAGAAGAAGCGGATCTTCTTGAGATTGTCACGTCAGGTTTGTTTCTTCGGAATTTGCCCCAAATTACTCATCTATTCTTGCGGTTGAAAATGTGTATAATTCTCAGAAGCCTTGCATTAGTGTTCATAGGATTTTGAATCGTCAAAATGTTGCAGGATATTCTCAATGGGCGAATCGGTTTTCTCGTGTGAGGAAAGCTGTTGAGAAACAGCCAGCTGGTCCTGCAGCCGAACAATGGACTTTTATTTACTAATATGGTTGGTTACGGCTTACAACAATGAGGCGTTGGATTCTGTCAGATGGATGATGAAATTGTAGGAGGAAATTATCCTTGTGTTCTGTTTCAACTTAAAGCGAATGTGCCCAGCCGAAGGAGAATGCCTCATGCCTATCAGCTTCCTCTCTCCCATCACCAATGGGTTTCATGTATCGAATACTTCTGTATTTTTTTTTGAGTTACAGTTGTTCGGTATATATATTTGGATACAAGTAGTTCAGGATAAAAAGACGTTTTTACACATTGCGAGTACGAGTAGGGTTGGCTCATATATTCAAATCCGTTATTGTTTGTACGAACGGTGCCCAAACAAAGTAAAGCTAGTCCCACATCGACCAAGTCTGCTTATATTAACGGCTTTATATAGAAATGCTTGCCAACAAAGCTTGTCCCTTCGGGGACATCCGATAAAATTGGAACGATACAGAGAAGATTAGCATGGCCCCTGCGCAAGGATGACACGCATAAATCGAGAAATGGTCCAAATTTTTTTGGCTATTTTTGCGTGATATTGTTTTTTTGCTCTTGTTGAGGTTTTCACCCGATAACAATCCAATCACGAAGCTCCTTCATCGGTGACCTCTTTGCATGATTTTCTTGCTTGCGTTAAGGTTTCTTTTCGACAACAACCCAATCACACAACTCTTTTATCAATAACCTTTCTCGTTTGTGTAGCGTCTCGCAATGGAAATTGTCCCCAACACCAATATAGTCTTGTTGTACTCTTGCAACTTTTATGTAGCATTTTTATTGAGTAGAAGAATAACTTATTGGAGTGTGAGTTGATTAAAATCATAATTAACCTTTCCAAGTTTATTTAATTAACCTAACAACTAACTATTTAATCAAGTAACTCCGTCGTTTGTTAAAAATTTAAAATAAAAAAAAATACCAACCAACATAATTAAGGCCCAGGCCCAAAAAAGTTGGGCAAAATCTAAATGAAACGGACCACCTCCAGCCACCATCCTCACCTGTTACTGAGATGAACACACAGACGATGACTTTCTCCAGGCGCCATTTTTAGAGAGAGAAAGCTAGAGAGAGAGAGAGAGAGAGGGGAAAAATGGGTTGTGGGAATTTCTTCTTCACCATACTGGTGACCTTCTCCGTAGCTCTGATCACGTATAACATCATAATCTCAGCTAATTCGCCACTCCAGCAGGACCTTCCAGGTCCGTCGAGATCATCATTGTCGATTGGCGTGGACCCCATCATCCAGATGCCATTTCACAGATCGCGAGGAAAATCGCGAAGCTCCAAGCGACTGTTCCACACGGCGGTGACGGCCTCCGACTCCGTCTACAACACGTGGCAGTGCAGGATCATGTATTACTGGTTCAAGAAGTTTCAGAACGAATCCGGTTCGGAGATGGGCGGGTTCACTAGGATCTTGCATAATGGGAAGCCGGACAAGTACATGGATGAAATCCCAACTTTTATTGCCCAGCCTTTGCCTGCTGGAATGGATCGGGTTGGTGGGCTTTTCTCTTAATTTGTAATTTATTTTAAGAATTTTGATTAATCTGTTTATGTTTATCTGCTTTTTTTGGAAGTTGGTAATTGAATTTAGCATAATTATGTGTTTGGCAGATGGGTTTTTATTATTTTTGTGGGTAGAATTTTGGGTTGCTGAGTAATGTTGCAAATGAAGAAGTTAGATTTTGATTGCTTTTTTGGCGACATTGCTAATATAGTGATGAAGAATTTACTTTGATGATTAAAATATGCAATCTAGACATGTGAATTACGGAACCCTGAAGGAATTTAAACTTCTTTCGGGCTAGCTTGTTTACGAAAGAAGCGGGTGAAGTTTTGTGGTGATGAAGTATTAATCTCTGTAACTGTTATTTTGGTAGAAATTACTTTGTAATAGTTTCTTAGCTTCCATTTCTGCAATCACAGGGTTATATAGTTCTCAACAGACCATGGGCATTTGTGCAATGGCTTCAGCAAGCAGACATCAAAGAAGAGTACGAGCGATGCTTTACTTCCTAGTTTCAGTATCAGTACTTAATAAGTTGATCATCTTTGGTGTTTCTGTTAGGGTTGACTTATCTATATTGTATGGTTACCGTGTATGCAGTTATATACTGATGTCGGAGCCCGATCATGTGATTGTCAAGCCCATACCAAACTTGTCCACTGACGGGCTTGGAGTCGCGTTTCCTTTCTTCTACATTGAACCGAAGAGGTACGAGTCAGTGCTCCGGAAATACTTCCCTGAGAACAAGGGACCAATAACTAACATTGATCCAATTGGAAATTCTCCCGTCATTGTTGGGAAGGTATTTAAACTTGTCATCTGCCAGTTATAGCAACAGTTATCTTTAGGTTTAAGGTGTTTTGACATTTTTCAAATCTATCATTTTCAGGAATCTCTTAAGAAGATTGCTCCGACCTGGATGAATGTTTCTTTAGCAATGAAGAAGGATCCTGAAGCAGACAAAGCTTTTGGATGGGTGCTTGAAATGTGAGCTCTCACTAGTTAACTTAGTTCTTTGATGACGTTACACAAGTTTCCAACTACCTTAGCTATCAAAACACTTGTTGACCTTTTACGTTCATTTTGCATCATGATATAGGTATGCTTATGCTGTCGCATCCGCTCACCATGGTGTTGGTAATATCTTGTACAAGGATTTCATGCTTCAGGTTTAGAACCCGTTTTCTTTCCTTGTAATGTTTAAGTTTTTTCATGATCGCAAGTTAATTTATCCATTCGTTACTGTCTACAAGATCAATTGGTTGGTTTACAAAATTTCAATTTTTTTTTTTATATTCTAACGCTCAACTTACCAGCATTACTATTTTTCTGATGTATATCAGCCTCCATGGGATAAAGAAATTGGCAAGAAGTTCATAATTCATTACACTTATGGATGCGACTATAATATGAAGGTACTATGTTCGATAAGCTCTTGTATACTTTCATGTGCAGTATCTATCGAGAGTGAGGATATTTTTATTTCTGATGGTTTGATTTACCGCCCAATACATGTCTTCAGTTTTCAAGAAATAGGAACTTTCAGCTCTTTAATATCTGGTTTTGATTTTCTGATATCAGGGTGAACTAACGTATGGGAAAATTGGAGAATGGAGATTTGACAAACGATCTTATGGTACTGTTGCACCGCCTAGAAACCTCCCTATGCCTCCACATGGTGTTCCAGAAAGCGTGGTATGTATCATCACCTAGTAGTACAGTAGCACTGTAGTGGTAGTGTTCCTGCATAATTGGTTACACTAGCGAAGAACATGCAGTTGACCCTGCTTATTCTATCTTGTCCCGAAATTTAAACGTGCAGGTGACGCTGGTGAAAATGGTGAATGAAGCGACGGCAAACATTCCAAATTGGGGGGAATAGGTAAAAGAGCCTGGTTGGAGCTGATGTAGACACTGAGCCTGTACAGACAAAGCTGTGCTGCCTTTTGGTACACAGATGCCGCTTGCGGAAAAGTTTGGGAAAATTTTCATGTCTCGCTATTCAACTTGGGTTGCACACTTGGCGTCTCACTCGAATTCAGTTGCTCGTATGTCCTAATTATGAGAATTTTACAACAAACATGAATACATTTTGTGAATGATAAGGTTGATTATATAGGTAGGGATGTGTTATCCACGCACTTATTTTTACTTCTTACACAACTTTTTAATTTTCGAACGTCGGATTCATGATCGAAAATGATAACATTTGTTTTCTCCTTGCTACGCGTTGAAGTTAGCTTTTGATAACAAATGTTAGGATTTTCCCCTTGATTAGAATTGTGGACGCCTTAACCGAGTTTTCGGGCACGTGGAAAGGTACAGTTTGAGAACCATGAGTATTTTACTCGGATTGAGATTCACTCTGGATTTCTTTGACTGGAGCCACGGATTGAGAGATGGAACGGCACGGATCTCTCTCTGTTGAACAGTAGACGACGAAACACAAGTGGACCTGACATGTTCACGTGCAACACTCGCACAGAAAGGTGGACAACGATGGATGTCAAGTCTCCACAAGGATTTGGATTCCTCCCCACATGTGCTCCCATGGTGGCCAGATGATGACGACAATGAAGATGAGGACACGATTAATGTGGTATTTTCATGTTCTGAATCCCAAATTTGCCGAAAAGTATACATCCTTAATAATTGAAAGTCGTCCCACAAAAATTTACAACAAATACATGAAAAAAAGAAGGAATAATTACATGCATGCATCGTCGTCCTCAATTCAAGTAGCGCCTGCAATTCTTTGAATTGCAAAAACATGGAATCTTCTTACCTTCATCCTCATGGTTGAAGTGGTAGTCATACGTAATCTCTTCTCCGGGGAATATGTCCCGCTCTGCGAAAAATACCACCTGTGAATCGGGAAAACTCAGTAACTACTCCCAAAACATTGCCATTTCTGCTTCCAAATGTGAACTCTCTACATTTCAAAATAGGGGAATCGCTTCGAAATTCTACGGCTACAGATTCTTAAAACAATTTATGTGGCCAGACACCAATTTTCATGCACAACTTTTCGTTTGAACAAACAATACTTCGAAGAGAGGAGAAAAAAATTTGTGGTATCACGATAGATTCAAATTACCTTCTTTTCATTCCTCACAGACATCACTTTGGCGACGCAGTTTGGCTGGTCAGGTAAATCAACAGCAAAGTGAGAAAACTGAGTGAAGAAGTACAAATGGTAAAAAAATGAGTTGATTGAAGAACAGAGAATTACCGAGCAGGAATGGTTGACAAAACGAGCAATCCCTCCTTTGCATGTGGCATCAATAATATGCTCTTTATCTATCTTGAAGAAGTAGCAAGCGCTCTTGTACTGAAGCTTTTTACCAGATTGGTATTCATTTTCCCTTTTGTCGGCAACACGCAGCCCCACTATCTCTCCAATATACTCAACAACCTACAAAGCACAAGGATACTACATCATATCTGGTATTATAGGAAAATAGAAGCCCCAATTTTAAAATATGAGAATGCCAAACCATTTCACCGCGGGAAATGAACCGAGACGTGTAAAGGCCAAGGGCATGTATGCCAGACTTGTACACCACTAGATGCTTCCAAAACTTTGCTTGCTTGTAGCGTGCATATTCTTTCTGCAAGTGACAGTAAACAATGTAAGGTTAAGTAGTCTTAAACATGGTAAATTTTACCACAGTTTCCTATTCCAATCACAAAACCCTGTATCTCATTCTGTTGCAAATATTAGCACTAATCATGGTTATCAGTGATAATTAGATATATGATAATTCACAAGGGAGCAAAAGTGAGCCACAACTTTCTATTTCTGACACAACATGAACTGACATCCTGAAGTGAAACGCCATATTTACTTGCACAATCATCCTGAAGTGAGCCACAATTTTCTATTTCTAACATAGTTCGCATTTTCACAATGTGTTAGCCATAAAATTGCATCTCACTTATTAAAAACTGAATAACCAAAATGAATCATGAGGTAAAGCAGCCTCATCCCTCATGAACATACCCGACAATCATGCTCTAAATCCGAGGCTGGCAGCTTTGGAAGCCCCTGAGATGACTTCTGACCATTAATATGAACCCAAGCATTTAACTGCTCCTGAGGAACAAGGCATCCACCATTGCCCTTTGACTGACCATAATTATTATGCCTGAACCCATCACGTTTACGGCCCTTGTAACCCTACTCATAAACAAAAGAACGAAAAAACAAAGAACAACGAAATTAGAAAAGGATAATATAGAGCCTCATTCTGCAGGTAACTGAGTGGCACCCTCGCAAATACAATACCACAAAGTAAGGTCAAATACCTCAGTTCTAGCGCAAGTTAATTCCTGTTTTTCAATGCAACCAGTTTCAGGGACATGGCCTGATTCGCACATTGGGTGTGTAGCATGTAGCACACATTTTCCATAAAAACCAATATTTTCATTGTCAACACCCTCAGCTTCACTTTGCAACAGACCCTGAAGGGGCCACACAGAAAAAATCCAATGACAAGAAACACAATCAGTTTTAATGTGACAAGGAGTTTTTATAAAGTATGGAAAAAATATACAAACCCCAATGAGAAGGCAACAAATTCCAAGAAAACACCACAAAACATACAATATCAAGCACAATATTATACATCAGGTACATTTTTAAGAAAGAGTTGAGACCTTCTGATGAGCACACCAAGGGTGAAACTGAGCAGAACAATTTGCAATCCTGCACTGTATACATGAACCGCCTGCTCGCATACATATACAACAAACCTGAAAAAATGTAGTTTAACGAAAGTAAGAATTAATGTCCAACCAAAGGCCGAGGGGGGGGGGGGGGAGGGTTTGACCAAAAACATATTTACTTGGTGGTAGTTAATAAGGATGTGCTTGTATCTTACTATTTCCGAGAAAATCATGTTATTGTTCTCCCTCCCCATCCAACCAAAGAAAGGTTATTTTAAATATTTTATTGACAGTCAATTGCATTTAACAGATGGACATGGTGCAAAAGACATGTGTCATCTTATAAAATTTAACACATGCCCAGTCCTAATGGTCTCTCTAATTTTAGGCGGACCGAAGAAAAACACACTAATTTGCTAAACTCCGGTTCCATTTGTTATATATCCAAAAACAAGTCTTTCAAAGAAAAGAATCTTGACAATCTCTATCAATATTTATACATCTATTTTTCCCCTCAATTATTGATTTTAATGCTTACCACATCTGCTCTAGGATGTGCACCAGAGACATCAAAAGCACTCATGGTGTCAACATTTGGGCATCGTGTTCCAGGAGTCCAAAGCCCACAAACCATATGAACCCATTGCTTAGTTGCCGAATCAAGTAATCCCGCTGTAACGCTATTATGTACGACATCAACTTGGTAGGATATACCCATATAACAGACAGCTGAGGTCAAGCAATGCCACCCACTTGAATCCTTTTGCAAAGTTTTAACCGACGAAAACTTATTCTTAGGCATGCTTTCTGTTTCAGTGTTCCAAGCTTTCAAAAGGCTTTTCACAACTGAGTGACTTCGCAGCGCTTGAGTCATGGCACCACCACCATAACCACACAGAACACAAACCTAGATGAAGAAACAAACACATTGCAATCCACAAGTTAAAAAAAATATTCCAAGCGAAAGAAAATGAGTAAGAAACAAAACATGTATGAAGTTTTTTCTAAAAGAAAATTATACTAAAATAACACCCTTCCTCTTACAATATTTTTTGAACTGGTCCGGCATGGCCTGCAATACCAATGGCCTTTAGGTTGTTTTGAGACACCATAACAAGCCTGATGCACCTGTTCATTATGAAACTTCTCCATATCACCAAGCTATTACAAAAGAACTAGGATTATATTCAAGTTGAGCATGCTCTGGATTGCTACATACCTTGATTGAACATTGACTACACTCCAGTAAATAATTGATTTCATCATTGTTTGAGCTACCACAAACACAGCAGAATGCATCTGAATCCAAATCAGAATGGCACCGTTGCTCTAGAGTGGAACTGCAAGAAAATATAGGAAAACCAATCATCAGTATTTATAATGCATGTCCTTATTTTCCATTTGTATAACATGCCACGAATGGGAAACATTGTTTACAAGAAATATCAGGAAGACTTTTAAAGCAAAATAATTAGGGGATCTCTTGCTCACGTTTTAGCACTAAGTTTGCAGAGTCCAAGCTTATTTTCACCACTCTTTAGGAGTTGTCCTTCTCTCTTTGCTGGCAGACAATTTGAAATCTTCGAAACAGAAGCACTTTCAAAGCTGGGGTCCTTCCCTGATGAACAAATATCATTTAAGGGAAAGTATATAGTTTCAACAGTAGATTAAATAACAAAAGAAATGCAATACATTTGTATGTTTACCTTTCTCGGTTAATTCATAAATGCTACGCTTGCGAATTTCCTTAGACTTCAGCTTCAATTGAGCATGGGCAATAACGCCTAGCTTACTATGATCTTTCTCACGTCGATTTTCTCCCAATTTCTCCAATGAGGACAACTCATTGCAACATTTCTTTTCTCCAACGGAGCACTCTTTCTTCGTTTTTTCCATGGAAGTACCATTTAGTTTACCACAAACAACAGCCCCACCAGGGATTGTTTTCTTAAGTGATTTAGGATTACAATTTTTCGGGACCTTGCATCTTCTAGAAGAATTAAGAACCTTGCTGAGGGGAACAATTTTTGCTGGTTTTGGCGTGTCTCCAGGCAAACTTCCATTAGCTAGTTCACCATATTTTCCGCATACTATTGGTCTTGCCTTCCTATAACAAGTATTCACCAGCTTAATAGAACATGATTTCAAACAACCTACAGATGTTTGCTTTCTTTTTCTAGCGCCTTCTTCACCTGATTCTTGTACTTGGACATGCCTCGAACCATTAGAATTGAAATCCCTCTTACATTTCTTTCCCCCAGAAACTTCGGCAGTTTCACAGTTGGCACCACCACTTGGTTCTGTCTGGTAAAGATCAGTTTCCTCTCTGTCATTGTCATCATAGAGTTTGCGCAGATCTCTTTTACGTGAAAGCTTCTTTTCTGAAGACGATATACGAAGTCTGGGTTTGGAACTGGACTGAGTTGCACAGGCCCCAAAAGTATAAGTTTTGGATTGCCCCAATGGAATGAGCATCTTCACACTTTTTGA